CACCGCGCAACGCCTGCGAGATAGAGGCGCAATCCACGCTAATTCAAAATTGCATACAAAACTATTAGGGGTCTCTAGCAAGTTTATTAGATAAGCAGGTTAAGCAGCTAAGTAAAGGCACTTAGCAGATAGCTTATAATATAGTGTTAGTGTAGGAGGAAATAGGCCACCTTTAAGACGCTATTAACACGCTTACAAAGCGCAAGACCTATAAGAGGCAGTACATACGCGCAGAGGAGACCCTAACAGTTAGTAAGGTATCTAACTTAATTACTAAAAAGGAGGGTAGTAGTTGTAAGGACAGCAAGACACCTGCAAAGAGGGTGCGCGCAGAGAGGCGCTGCAGCTGTTGCAGCGAGATTGGGCATAACTCCTGCACCTGCAAGGTAGAAATAGTGGATGTAGATAATAGCGATGCTTATAAATAATATTATCCTGTTACGTATATTATAGGAATTTGTGATGGTGTTGCACTACGTCGCGGTGCGTGCGCTGCGCTGGAGAAAGTGCGCCGCTCGCTTGGGTGCGCCGCTCGCTTGTGAAGCACGTTATTCTTAAATAATATTCTTATATTTTCTAATATTTAGGCTACTAGAGCCCTAGCAAAGAATCTTAACTTAGTGTCTTAGTAAGGAATATTAAGCTTAAAACCTTCTACGCTTAATAACTAACGTATTCCACCACCTAACAGCTCAAACCACCCAACAGCTCAAAATGTCTTGGCACAACGAACACCCTCTTTGTTGCAACATGCCTCAACCACATAACGCGTTACTACGTGAACACGAAGGTAGAGTTAACCTTGCCCTCAAAGCTCTTTATTTAAAACAATTTAAAAGCTAGAGAGCAGCTGCGCGCGCTTTTAATGTTAAACAATGCATTCTCTCTGCACGCGTTAGAGGAGCCCCATTTATCCTTAAACAAGCACCTAACAGCCGCAAACTTACGCTTACAGAAGAGCAAACAATTGTCTAATATATCCTTAACCTAGATTCGCGAGGATTCGCGCCCCGGCTGTGCGAGGTAGCAGATATGGCTGATAAAGTGTTGGGTGTACGCGGTGGGCAGCCGGTTGGCAAGCACTGGGCTGAGCGCTTTGTAACGCGCTCAGCTGAGCTTAAGATGGCCTTCAATCGAGCTAAAGATAGGCAGAGGATACTGCAGGAGGATCCAGAGACAATTGGCGCGTGGTTTAAGCTGGTAGAGGACACTAGAGCCAAGTACAGCGTACACGACTACAACGTGCACA